GCGGACTGCACCCAAGGGGGTATGGACGACATGAGAAGATGGGATGCGACGAAGCCAGATCCAAAGCATTCGGATTCATGACATCAGCCGCTGAGTGCAAAAGAATCCAGTGCTTTCTTCACAGGTGCTTTGGGGGGGAGTTCCACGCCGGATTCAGTTGCCACTGGCCTGTAGGTCTCGTTTTCCAAATGAAATGAGTTCAATCCCATCTACGGACGCACGCTGTTCTATGCGGGTGGCTTTGTGGCAGACCTGGCAGACCTAACCTCTCTCTTGCAATACATTTTGAGATGGCAGAGCTGTCTGTAGCAAATAGACACTGCAACACCTCCTAGCTATTCTTTATGTCGCTTGCATAAATGCGATGGCTCATCTGTGAAAAAGAATATGATCTCCAAATTCACCCAGGTGTTTTCATCAAGCGCTCCCACCAGACTTGGATCGTATCCATGTCCGGTCGCTTTCTCCACGGGTAAACGCCAGACCATGGGGACTGGCTGTGGTTGACCTACATTGAGGTGGTAGACTGACCCAGCGTCAATGGCAGCATCTATTCCATCCCTGTGGATTTCCGTATTGTCGGACCTTCCCTGGGGATCTCGGTGCGACAACGGATCCGACGTGATCACTTGGCACCACATCACCGTGTCGACACCCGGCTTCACCTTCAACGAAGGGCATGACTGGATCCCGAGGCACAATGAATTAAAAGAAAGAGGTAAAGTTCCGTATTCCATCGTATGCCCTTACTTACAAAATAAACCTGGACCTTCAAAGGGGTGTCCTGTCTGGAGGTCCCTTAGTAGTGTAGGGGCTTCGATTGGTGACCCCTTTGAAGGTGCTGGAAGTAATATATTGATTTTTGTCTGCGAGGGATTGTCCTGAGTGGTCCGTCGGCGGGCGGCACCTGAGTGGTTCAACGAGTGTCCCTGGGTCGCCTTTGATGCCCGTACCCGACCCTTGGGCGGCTTCCACCCAAAGATTGTAGAGACATCGTTGTAACAACAAAGGCTCAGTGGGTAAAGACGAAATCCATTGGTGTTTGGAAGCCTGGTTCAGCACACCGGACCACGTGGGAGAAGCACACCCGCCCATCCCGACATGTCGACACCAAAGGCGTCTTCAAGCTACGGAGCTACCCGATCTACTCTTGACCCACTGCCATATCTCATCATACCAGGACCCTCCTGTCGGGGTGTCTATTTATAGCCCCTAGCTTAGCTGTGATTCGGGGTGTCCATGTCTACCACCCCTTGAAGGCCCTGGTATCGTTCAAGACACCAGACCAACCTGGTCCTTTTGGAACTTCTTCCAGCGAGCCCGTCACATCTGGCGAAGCTGCTTGGGGGAGAAAGAGCTCATCCAAAACGACCTAAACGTCCTTGGAATCACCCTCACCAAGAGAAACCGCGACCAAATCCATCCAAAAAAGGAACAAAACGCCCTCCATCGACTCTACCTGCTCCTTCACCCCTTTCGGACCTGACTTGCAGACCCCCCCCAGAGCTTGCTTCCCCAAGGCACCGAGGGCACAGAGGGCGCACCCCTGGGACCACTGGGACATCGGGTCGACGCGGATCCTCGGCGCCGCGGAGCGCGGCGGAACGCGATCCGAACGACCCCACCCCGTGGCGCCGATGGGTTCAGCCGGGGCGTGGCGTGGCGTGGCGCCCTTTTTGGGGTCCAAAGCAATTCCTGCCAGCGAGTGGTGGTTTCGTCCGACTTGCCTTCAAGAATCCGGTCCTGGATTTGTTTGGAAGTCTGGGTCTTTTGGAGATGCAGCTACTGGAACTCTTAAAACAGCACCTGAGACCAAAACGAAGCGTCTGGAGACCACAAAACGTCCAAAGAAGTGGGAAAACAAAGCGCCGATTACACAGGCCAAGGGGGGCGGGAGACAAGACATGGGGCCACCAGGCAGCAGACCCGGTCATTGAAGTAAGAACCGCCCAAGTCTTCGGCCGGCTGGGAAGCTGAAACGTCCGGCACGTGGCACGTGGTGGTTTTTGCGGGTCGTGCCACATGTCCAAAAAGATCCGTACGGCCCGGCCATGCGATCGGTGAATGGACACTGACCTTTATTAAACATCTATTATATATATATATAACCCTACCTGGACCTTCAAAGTGACCTCTTTGGAGTCTCTAAGTGACCTCTTTAGGGACGATTCGTGACCTCATTCTAGGATCTCAAAAGGTCACTTTGAAGGTCCTGGTAATTAACCCCACATATAGGCCTATAGGGTTTATGGGTTTATGGGTGGGTGGGATTGGGGGGTCGAAAACCACCGGTCACCTGACGAGATGGGACGAGACAGGAGCCTTTTAGGGTAAGTAAGAGGCTATTGGGACGCCTCATGGCCCTGCGCGGCCCTGCCCCATCCAGGTCCACCGGTCCGGGCCCTGGTCCAAGCCACTGAAGGTCTCGAAGCTCGTCGAACCCTTGATGCCTTGAGCGTGGTATGAAGACACACGACGTGTGGTCTCGTGTGGTCTCCAAGCAGTTCGATGAGTCACCTGGATGAAGAGGTGGTATGAAGATGTAGATCCAGTCAGCGAGAGAAGTGGATCTGTTGTTTTTTTGTGGTGAATCTGGAACATTCAGCACATCAGCTCCTCTTCATGCCAACTCCCAATTTCAGGAGATCAACACGTTTAAAAGACTCGCGCCCTCGCCCGACCCCCGGGAGCGAGTCGTCCGCTCCGAGCGACTCGTCGTCCGAGAACGGGAGCGGCGCAACTGCGCGCCTCGCTTCTCGGGTTCTTCATGTCCCATCGAGGCCATCTCTGGCATGGAGGGCGGCTTCTTCATGGGCCATGACGAGGCAGAAGGGCTCCACATGTTCTGAGCGCCGCATTGGCGGCGGCGCAAGAGCGTGGCTCCCGCGCCGGGGGGGGAGTATTTTGGGGGTTGACCGGGCGTTGTTGAACGCGTTCGGAAGCGGAAAGATGGAGGCAAGAACTCTCCCCCCTTTTTGGGTGGTGCAAATAGATGTGGCTCTGTGGTGTGTTTTGGGGGGTGGAGTCTCTTTGGAGGTGGGACAGAGTCGCGGGGGCTGGTGAGTTGGTGGAGCAAAACCTCCGGATGTGCAGTTCTGCGAGTTCGCCGGAAGCAGACGAAACGAGTTTTTCAGCTGCTTCGTTTCATGAAAGCCTACTCACTCTCAAAAAGGCTCAGATCTACGAACCACTCTCCAATCGTCCCAGGTCTCCCGGTCCGGAAACCACATTTTTTGTAGTGTGTGAACTGCCTTGTATGACCACGTCCCAGTATGTCATGACATGAGGAGGGTCTTTCAAGTATACTTCACTGTATGCTTCGAATGAAATCATCATGCTATATATTTTTTTGGCGTGGATGGCATGACCCCGTGCTTGTGTATGATGAAAGACCCGAAGACCAAACAGGTGGTGAACTCGTCGTCTCGCGACCTCCCGCCTTGTTCGCTCACCTGTGAAACTCTGTGCCTTGAAAGACCATCACCCAGGTTCGCTTCCTCAAAACCTACCTGTACCTGAAACAGGGGTGTCGGGTGTCCTGTCTGGAGGTCCCCTATATAGTCGTGGGCTGGGGCGAGCTTCCAGCCAGGTGATCCCGACATGAAGGTGCTAGCGCATGCTGGTAGGGATTGGTGAGACACCCTGATTCGGGTCCGACCGCTCGCGCACCGCAAACGCCGCTCCGCGCCTTGCTCCGGTCTGCCGTGTAGCCCGCGGAAAGTGCCATGGGACGAATCCGGAAAAGACGGCGTTGAAGCGGAAAAAAACGGCAGAAAAGGGTGGAAAACCGAAGGGTGAGCCGATGGCTGGGGGTGTTCTGGTGTGTTTTTTTTCGATGTTTTCGAAGTTGGTGGTTTTTGTCGTTTTCGTTGGTCCAGGTTTCGGTTCAGTCTTCAACAAACTGGAAATGATCTGAAGATAGAAGCCTCTGTTCCTGTTTTTGTTTTCCACCGTCCGTGGTCAATGGATGGCTTCGTTTCACGGGCTTCGCTGTAATTTGGCTTCGTTGCTTCGGTGTGAGTTTGTTGTAATCCTCTCCCATCTTGGGCAGAACTCTCTAGTCTCACGTCCAGCTGTCCAGTGGATGGCACCTCCAAAAACTCGCAGCCAAAAAGGTCGCGAGAAACCGCTGGACCGTCGGCGTGGGCGATGCTGAGTGGCGATTCGGGATGTACCGTTCACGAACGCTTGAGATCGACGAGACTTGACCAAACGGTGAGTGCAAACTGGTGAGCCCGAGTTTTTTCCCACCGGAAATGAAGAACAGAAATAGACGACCAGATTCACTTCGTGACAGGTTTGTAACGATCAATCGGCATGCCAAGGAGTCAGCTTTTTCAGGGGAGGCACAGCAACATCAATGGTACGGCAGCTTGTGGTGGCAGATACATCATGAAATGGCACAGAAAACCCCCAAAGGAACAGCAGCCTCGTCGTCCCTGTTCGGTTCCAGCAGCAAAACCAGCCACTTGATGTCCACAGTCTTAATCCTTCTTTCAATGCCACTATAGATAAGACATTCCAAAACAAACACACCAGTCCTGCACCGTTTTTTGCATCACCCAAAGGAGCCACGATTTCTGAAACCAGAACGACGTTCCATGCAGGTTCCGAAAAAACGCAGCTCAAACGCGACACTAGAGTGACTCATGAAAGAGGGCGACTCCTATGGCATCACAGACTGGTCAATCGCTCCAACAACCGGACTTTGATGCCACAGAGAGCATGTTTGGTCTGGGTTCATATCACTCAGCAGAATCAGCACGAGTCTCGTGCGTCAATACAAGCACCAATGTACTCGTCTCAGTAGTCAATGTATTCTTCCCAACAGTCCCCATCAAAAAAAGGGCTGAGAAAAAAGAGTAAACGGTGGACCCTCCTCATTAGGGTCCCTCTGTTTGGGATGGTCCCAAAAGGTGAGTACCTTCCATGTCGAGCGGGTCGGGACCAGGTTGGACTCCTGTGGTTTCCAAAACCAAAGAAAACACCGGTCTGTCCGCCTGGAAGTGCCAAAAGCACCTTTCCCACCGACGCCTTGCGCCCGCGCACCCGCGGGGAGCGACCATCGGGGAGGGACCGGAATCGGGTCCACCATCGGTTGGTCGTTTCAACACACCCGGAAGCTGTGGCACCTCGGAAACGAACTCGGAAACGGAGGGAGACAGATGGCATCTTTCCAGCTTCAACTACGATGTTCCAATATCTGTTAGTTGTTCCAGAACGTTTCTTTTCTTGGATGATCGGCTACTTGTTTGATTCTAAAATGACTGGCCATTCAGTTGCAGTGGTCAAATCCCTGGGCTTACCAAACATTTTTGCGAAAGCTTGTGCAAACAAGAGAGCCTCCTTTCTCCTCCCCAACAAGGCAGCTGGGCATCGTAACCGAACAGAAACCAGATAAAACAAGTATCCTGGACCTTCAAAGTGACCTCTTTGGAGTCTCTAAGTGACCTCTTTAGGGACGATTCGTGACCTCATTCTAGGATCTCAAAAGGTCACTTTGAAGGTCCTGGATGTCTCTGACGTTGACAGGGAATGATTCATGTCGACTGGCTATTGATGTTGACCCAGGAAAATAATGCACGAGCTCACCGGAGATATGGGTGTGTAGATCAAATAAGAAGACCTCCCAGTCCGACTCCCTGGAAGAAGAAAAATAGACCAAAATCCCTTAGTTGAGTGTCTTGAACATGCACACCCATCTTCCCTGGAATCGCACCTGGACCATAAAAAGAAAAGAGACCTTCCATCACCCCTTCTAAGCCAAGGGGTCACCCAAGGGAAGTCTCACCCCCCCCTCTGCGGGAGTAGTGGGGGAAGGTCCTTCCCCCCTAAGATCGACGACGAAACACCTCGTGTTCGCGGCACCAAACGGTTTCTCACCGATCGAAGCGTGGTCGCTTCGCCGTCGAGCCACCCCAGTCATAGCTTTCAGCTCTCACGGGTCCCATCTCCGACCCGGTGGACCGGTGGTATTCGACCCCCCAGTCGACCACCCGGGCCCCCTGGCCCATCTTCCAAACGGAGGTGGGGGAGCCTTAGGGATTACTCAAATCCAAACTGCCAGCAGTCACCAGACGGGGTGCCGGTTCCGAAGCTTTCGGAAGGAAGACAGATCGGTGCCTGTGCCCCGGTCACATCACATCACATCCACGAAAACTGGATGGGACGAGTCACAGCAACCCTTATTCCCCAAGGATCCGCACCCTCAAAAGTTTTGAGGGTACAAACCCTTGTTCTAGAGGGCTCGACCCCTTCTAAGGAAGGTCCAAGGATTCTTAGGGTTGTGAATTGTGGCAAAGAGCCTTTGGTTTCTCACGGTGGGCGGTGGTGGCCATTTGCTCACACCGACTTCCGTTGACCACAGACCGTCCACCTCGCCATCGACGCCGCCCGAAGGCAAAATCTGAGTGCGGCAGGCAGGCTCCGCCGCCTGGCTGCACAGTGGGAGGCACGACCCCGGCGCCAAACGAATGGCACCCAGTGGCTTGCGGAAAAGGCATGGCTGACGTGATCGGGCGGATGGAGGGATAAAGAATCCTCCACTTAGCGGTCTGCACTACCTGGAGGAACATGTAGGCAAATTGCGGCACATCAGTTCCCTGTAACTATCTATAACTGAAAGACCCATCAACTGTGGCTACCTATTCACTGAGCATTTACAACCATTTACCAACTGGAGTGAGCCTCCGGATAGAGTCTGTGAGCAGCGCGCAATGCCCTCCAAGCGGCGCATGGGACGCGCCGCTTGCGAGAGTTCCAGCTTCGCTTCATCACCTGGTGGTGTTTCTACTCCCCCAAACTCCCCCAAACTCCCCAACCCAAGACCCGTTCCCAAAGCATGGCATCAGAACTCTGCCTGCAGGCACTCGCAGCACAGTTCCTCCAAGCCTCCGCGAGACTTCGACTCCGCTTCCGGGAAGACCAACTTCCACTCCTTGAAACGTCCCCATAGACCAGTCTACCGGGCCCCAGCTTTAGGGGCGAGATGGCGGTGTCTCCTGGATTTGAAAGTCACACCCACTTGCTGAGTTGCTTCAGCAGCAGGTGAACAAACTTCGGGTTTCACCGAAGAAACCGGGCCAGAAAATCCGGACCCGGCCTTCTTCGCCCGACCGAGGGGGTCGAGGGGGTGGGGAGGGCGTCCGACTTGGGGGGTGCTCTAAGAATCCTTGGGGCCCGACACCTTCGCAGGGGTCGAACCCTCTATAACAGGGGTTTGGACCCTCCCAAATCCTTGGTTTTTTGAGGGTCCGGATCCTTCCGGATCCTCTCCGGTCGGCTTCGATGTGAAAGAAGACATGTTTCCAGACTCGGAGCCGGACCCGCTGCACCAAGTCTGTACGGTCAAGAACAGACGGGCGATAGATAGATAGATAGATAGAGGTCTCCAAATAGACACAAACAACTTGAAAATCATACATATTTAGACTAATATCCTTTTCTCTACTTGAACGACAATGTCACGAGGTCTCCCCAGAAAACTGTTTAAAAAACTGCCTGTGAAAAAACAAACACCCACAAAACATGTCGATTGTTGACATGAGATGTAAAGCGGTAAGTGAGGCTTGTTTATGGTATAATACGCACTTTTCTCGAGTCACAAAAGGGCTGCAGTAATGTATCATGAATGCTGTGATGCAGACAATGTCATCTGACTGCACTGTGGTTCCTATGGAAAATGGTTCGCACTCCTTCTTGGCGATGTGAGACCCTAAAATGCCTCTTTGGGCTCACTTTGCCATCATAGTCCATTTCCTTCCATTTCACTCTTCTATTTCTCTCTGTGAGTCTTCTGCTCTCTCAGGAATTGGGTTCCTAGAGATCGATATTTATCTTTGTGGTCTTTCTGGAAAGTTTCTCCTCAAAATTGCACACTTATACCTTTCCATCTCTTTCTCTACCATGTCTGCTTCTTCAAATTTTCCACTACCCCTGAGTCTATAATGCTTCTCATTGAGTTGCCCAAGCTCTGCTTCAAATCGACCACATATGTAATTGATTTGCCTGTTCTGCAATGTATTGATCTCTCATCGACATCTCTCTGCTCCCTATTTTGAACATTCTGTTCAATGGTCCTTCTGACTGTGTTGCTCCATCTGTGTCTGCCTTCAACATCACTGTAGCGTCTTTCCATATGGCTCCATAGTTCACTGTAGTGTTCTCAAATATCGCTTCAAATGCTTCAACTTTCCTATCAACTCCTGCAATGATTTTGTCATAGAAGTCTATCATGAAGCGATTTCCCTCAATCAAATCTGCATGTACGGCCTTAAAGTGTTTGTAGATCCTGAAGATCACAGAGACCGCTGCTGTAAAACCAATAATGTTGAACAGTGAACACAACGATCATTACAATCCAAATTTTCCATCCTTCATTGGTTCCCTTCACTGCGTCCATTTCACATTGGTCGCTGTCTTTTAAGAATGCTTCTGTAACCACTGGCTGCAAGCCCTCCAATGCTACCATGCTCACAAGCATCTTTGCAATCTTGTTGACCTTTCCTGCAAAATTCTTCTTTTCTTCAAGTTCCCTTCTCTCATTTTCTCATACTCTCAGTTGGTCTTCACTGTGCCAATAACCAATGAGATTCTTCAAATATCTGATTCTTTGTCCTGCAAGTGGTTTTGCGTTGGAGTCTGCTATGTTACCATCTGTTGGCACTTGTACGAAAAGACTTCTGTTTTGAATCCACAGCAACTTTCCACCTAAGTGTCTCACTTTTCCAACTCCACTCTTTGTCACAAGTTGGCGTGCACTTGATGAATCTGTGGAGATATAATGGTCCGCCTTTGTCCCAAGAGCAAATTCCAGAATTGCTCTGATACAGATTCCACCTGATGCTGAGGAAACTACTGCGTGTAGTTCTGCTTCACACGAAGATAAGCTAATGATCTTCTGTGCTCTGCTGCTGCTGAACAATTCAATGCATGGAATCCTCCTGATGTTAAAACTCTTGCTGAATTGTAGTCCCTGCCTTGACAATCTCATCAAATACTTCTTCAACCTTCAAGAGCTGAGGTTGTGGTGCACTGTTCATTGAAAATGCTGGCCATGTAGTGGTTGCCCCCAAGGGCGCTAATCCTCTTGCCGTTGAAGTTGGCTTCAAATTCAAAGCTTTATTCAAACTCCTCCAGGCATCAATTCCATTGGAGTCTTCCACCACTTTCACCAATTGCAGTGCCCTTCCTCTCATCAATGAAGCTAACAATCCATATAGCTTGATGCACCTGGTCTTCTCTTCTGCTGTTGCCAAGTCCCGATCAAAGCTATTATTTCGCTTCTCACGAATTTCCTTCAGGTCCTTCATGTAGCCTTCATCAACTGCACTCAAATACTTCTCAAAGACCCATGACCATTCTCTGAATGCCTTGATCTCTTCATCCTGTGACTTGTAGTCAAAGATGTTGGGCTTTGCTATCTAGTTTGACCAATCTGTTGGTGATGACTTCTTGTCTTCAACTGCTTTCTTCAATGCCTCAGCTGCTTGATGTTGTTGCTAGCGTACCCTGTGCTATAGTTTGAAGGATTTCTCTGATCTCCTCCATCTTTTCCTTTGTACTAGTGTCTCTTCGACACAATGTACTGCTCACAACAATTATTCACCAGTCCAGCTGTTTGGGTTCCAAAGGCCCCAAATCTACGGCTCGAAATCGCACCCGGGATCCCAGTGACCTAGGGGCTTTTCAATCAGAGCTCCAGAGGGGCTACCTCATGTATCATGCATGCTGTGATGCAGACATCGGACTGTACTGTGGTTCCTATGGAGAATGGTTCGCATATAATCATATGTAAATAATCAGTAGTCAATCCCCAGGGATCCACGTATCTTCTCAGGTTTGGTACGACTGGACCGTCCTGGCGACTGAAATAGTGATGCCCAAATAGATAGTGGCACGGTGTCCAAGACATTTTTACTGGGGATCTACTTTTCCTTCTATTTGGGTGTATATATAGTATATATATATATAGAACTTCCTTCCGTGATCATTTCCATGATGATTCCCATCCGTCGGCCGAGGTTCCTCGGATCGGATCCCACAACGATCGGAGACCGATCCTTGGCAAACCAGGATCAGCACGACCTGGAGGAGATCCGTTCGGCGTTTCTTCGTTCCCACGTAGTTTTGGGCCGTGTTTGGGTTGCGGTTTTGGGATGGTCAAGGAGTTGGTTGACGGGGCCAAGTCGGAGCCCAAGGGGTTCTGAAAGGTAGGAAAGCAAAGAAGAGAAAGAAAGAAAGAAAGAAAGAAAGCCCTTCAAAATTCCAACCGGACGATGGGTCTTGAACAAAAGCACACTAAACCCATCCTTGGTCCCATGGTTCCACTAAACCTGTGCTTTCGCTGATTTATGGAGGATGTCCTCACCCTGCCAACCTGGCGGCCGAGCCAGGGGCTCGATCGCGAGGAAGCGGGATGGGACGACGGGTCTCTAGCCGTGGGGTCTTTGGGTCCGACGCCTGCGGGTCCGATGGACGAGTTCCTACTCCCCTCACCCAGACGCCGACCCGACTCCGGGCCCGAAGTCTGACGGGTCGGACCCCAATCCGAACTGGTCAGGGTCTGGAACGTCTCACCAATCCGGTTTGAGGGACCCTTTGGGCGTGTTTCACGCAGCCTCTGGGTGGTTCTGTTACCCTCCAGGTCAGAGGGTCCCATGAGGCTTAAGGTCACACTCCCCGACCGACCTCCTTGAGTCATGGGCCAACGTGGATGGGCTGTCCCCGACTCGGCTCACGATGAAAACCGAAGTACCAAAGAGGTGGTCTCATCCACTTCCATGTTATGACTGGGAGAGCAAGATTTTCGGAACTTGCTCTCTTGCATCTTCTCTAGCCTTCTAGCTTGCGGTCCAGTGGATGATGGATAGGTTGCAGCCTTTCCCCAAAACCGTGATGATCTTTGGCCCACGGTGACCGGGAAACACTGGGACACACCGGTAACTGTATCTGAGATCAGTTTTTTTGTGATGTGACTCTCCAAGGTCGGCATCTGGAAGAGTCCATCCATGACGGCCAGTCTCGGGTTTGCTGGGAAGACCATTCTCCAAGGTCCTACAGACCTCGCATCTGGGAAGCGAAGCAGTACCTCCGCAGTACCGTCTACTCTCCGTCGGCGACGGAACAGTGGCCACCAATCGATTGAGTTTCAACCAGAAGAGGTTGAGAGACCGGGACCCTCTGCGTCTGACGTGGTACCTTATGGGATAAACCCAAGAAGGGCTGTTCAACCTCTCCAGGAACCCTTTCAAAGGCTTTGAGTCTTCCCTTGAATCTTCTCACTTTGCGCCTCTTAGACCACGACCAACCGGAACGACTCCACAAACGGGTTGATCACAAAACAGAAAAAAGGAACCCTGTGGTTGTTGGTAGCCCAAGGCGGGCCGGGATCCCGGGCGGGAAGGTCTTCGAAGTCGGAGTCCAAGGGGATCATCGGGTTTGAAGAAAATCAGCGGTTCCCAAGCCGCACCGCTGGAAGCATGAGCTACATGGCTCTTGCGTCGCCGGCCATGAAGTGACACGAAGCGAGCCTAGAAGAAAGACTCGAATTGGCTTAGTGCCCCAAAAATATATACCCAAAAAAGTTCCCAACTGTTGGGCATTATTTTTTATTTGTGCAGTGACAATTGCGACATTCACAAGCTTAACAAGAGCTGCGTGTTGTTAGACACTGTTGCTCCCCATGTGAAAGTTTCCACAGTGCCATGTTAGCATGTTGACACTGCAATACATCAGTGTAGCACATGTGCGAACATACTGCATATATGTGTATACAACACCGCAACAAACAAAACCACCTCCGGAACCGGCTTCGGAGCCTGACAGCAAGTTAGCACGACAGCATGACCCGACTTCTGCATCTCAGCGTGGCAACGTGTTGGCATGTTTGTGTGACCCATACCAGCATAACAGTATGTCAGCATGACAAGCTGACAACTTGTCGGCATGACAGCATGCCAGCATGTCAGCCTCGCAATATGAATCATGTCAGCGTGTCTACATTACCATGTCAGCTTATCAGCATGGCAACACGCCTTAGCGCGTCAGATAACTTCTAACATGTTAGCAGGTTAGCAAAACCGCATGGTAGCCTTACACCGCGTCAACATGTCAGCGTGACAACAGGCCAGCATCATTACGCCCGGAAGCTCCGGAACCTGCTCCCAGCTTGCTCCGCAACCTGCTGCTCCGGAACCTGCTCAGCAGCTTGCTCCGGAACTTGCTCCGGAACCTGCTCCCAAACTTGCTCCTGAACCTGCTGCAGAACCTGCTCAGCAGCTTGCTCGAGAACTTGCTCCGGAACTTGCTCCGGAACCTGCTTCGGGACCTGCTCCGATCTGCTAACCCTAAACCTTAAATGCCTAAGCATCCGAAGCTTCGCTGTTGGGGAAAACATAGATGCTGTGCTTTTCACCCTGGTGAACAACAAGCAGCAAGCATTCAGAGATACACTCCCTCAAATCACTATGTTTACATGGATGGCATGGCCTCTGATTTAGGATGACCAATCCTCCGATTCACAGATGCTCCTCCCAGGTCGGAGAAAAAGATCGCGTGAGTCCATTTGGAGGAAGAGATGTTCGGGTCACGGTGGAGAGGCTGTTTCATCGAGCTTCAATGATTTAGGGATCCAGGCCAGCTGCTCAGGTCGATATGAATGGAGCCTCACTTCAGCTACATCAAATGACGTGGGCAAGACCCCGGGCCAAATGAACAGATGCCTCATCTGTTCGGGATGTCAACCGAGCTCCCATGGTTTGGTGAGGGAGGTGCCATGACGAAACCACAAATGTTCCCCCTCGACCAGAGGGCAGTGGAGGTAGAACCTCCCGCCTCTCAACCGAGCCGACGCCAAAAACTCCCGTTGAGAGGCAGGATTGATAGGCAGGAACCCGGTCGTTTTCATCAGCTCGATTTCCGAACTTGGTCACTAGAAAAGGCTGAAGTCGGTTTACAAGTTGATTCCTTTTTGGACAGCGGAGGCTTCCAAAAAGAACCTCGAACAAAGAAAGAAACAACTTGCAAGGTGATGGCTTCATCCTCTGACGAACACATCACATGAAAGTGGAGTCCATCCCATGTTGGTAGAGGAAAGCAGTACTTTCGGGACTATGGCAGGAACCATGTGAAGTACTTCCTCAGAGGCTATTTCCAGCTGAAGAGTTCACTCTTGAGCCAGTGAGCGCGGCGCCTGAGTCTGGTCTCAGTCCGGTCCCGCCTTTCTCAGAGCAGATCCGAAAGCAGTGTGCCGCCCTCACCCAGAAAGGCCTAAAGAATCCAACAGAATCCAAGGAAACAGACTATGCCGGGCATCCTCTTCGTTCTCTTCCAACATCCTACAGAGGTTAAGTGACCTTATAGGACCCTACAGGGGTACCTATAGGACAGTCTAGGGTTCTTCATGGGGTCTCGTAAAACGGGTCGTACCAGGGAGGGTCTGTCCCCACCTTCTGAAGGGTCATGTGCTTGACATTCGTCATGGCAGCCACCATGGCCCGGAGCTCGGTGCACCTGCTGTTAAGGGGGTCTCATTTGACCTGGGGTGAACCCTGCCCAGATGCCATGACCGATCCATCTCAGCAGTTCGGAGCTTGGTGTGGTGTGGTACGTACACGTTCGCGACCTGAAAGGCAAGGCCTGGTTTCCAACGTGTTGGGGCCAAAAGATGGCATCCCTCACATGGAACTGCTGGGTGGTGGCATCCTCCTCAAGTAGGAAGATGAAATTGAATAGTTGCAGTAAATGAAGAGGAACTGGCATGTCTTGCAAGCCGCTCCACTGGATCCACGAACAAAAATGGCCTTCGCCCAAAGATGGAAAACCGACCCCAACATCCAAGAGAGATGAAAGAACACCCATTGAAGTGAACCCTTCGTGTGTGCATAACAAAAGGTGGTGCAGTGCCCAAAAAACATCTCATCCCAGAGATGGATCGGGAGGCCACTTGATTCACTAATGCATTTTTACACCATGGCCCCTTCCCCCATGCTAGCTAAATACGAAGTCGACAGAGAAGGTGTTGGAGGAGCTCTCGCAAAAAAAAAAAAACATTCAAACGAGGAGGAACCCTTGAAGTTCCTGTAGACATCCGTTCCCTGAACAAACGCCCCAACAGGCGAACACTGCCTAGCCATGCGGAACTCTAAAACCCTCTAAATCCTTTAAATCTGCCTAGACAAGCAGGCTCGTGGGCGCTTGTGGCCATTTTTCCCCTAAGGCGGTCGGTTTCTGGGATTGAAGTCTCTCCTGACAGAAAAGAGCACCATGTTCTTGTCATATTAGTTCCAGATTGGGGTGCTTTGGTTCCTGGCACCCAGTGAGTGGATGTGACAGGGCCCCCGCCCCCTATCCTCAACAACAAGCACCCGGTCGAATGTGACCCCTGGCAGGTGCTCTTCCTGGAAGACGTTGAGTCCACGGACATCTGGAGATCAGTTCGTTGGATCGAATCCCTCCCGCTCAGTAAAGACCTCCAGTGAATTCCCCCTTCGATTATGAGTCAGAGTGCTGAATTATCAACACGGTCTAGAAGAAGGGATTCACATGAATTGTTCTCATTGAAATGCATAAGTTCCTCTGCTTAAAATCATCATATCCTTTCCTTCACTTCCAAAAACCTTCCAAAAGTTACCACCCAACACCTCTCCACCTGCCTCACCCACCCATCCCGACCAACCCCACCACCAAACCCCTTCGGGCCGGCCGACACCGCACCGCCGCGTGGAAGATCGCACTCTTGTAGCCGTCCTCGCCCGCCGTGTGCCACCTCGGGACCGGGTGCGCCACCACCAGGCGGACCCGTCACCTGAGGTACCCTGGCCTGGGATAGTCTAGTTCGGGTCCAGAAAACCTCGTAACTGGTGAACTCATGTCCTATCAAAAACATGGGTCATGTCTGAATTCTAGGTACATCAACCCTTCCATCCGATGACCCTTCTCCCACCGTTTCCCTCCAGGCTGGCACAGGTCGTAAGGCTGCCACAGGTCGTAGTTCTCCTCGCTGCGCGCCACCTGCGGAAGCAGTTGGGCAGCTGCATCTTTGGCCTCAGCGTGTCAAGCAGACCGAGACGATTCCGTGGGTGTGCCCTTAAGCCGCACGTCTCGTCTCTGGGACAGGTGAAGCCGCAGGGCTAGGGACTGAGTCCACGTCTCTGAGGGTGTGCCCACGGCATCGGGTCTCCCCGTCCTGAAAGCCGAAGATCGAGCTGTTTTGAGCAGCTCCAGTGTTTAGGTCAGGAAAACCTGACCTGTAGGGAATGGATGTTTTTCAGGATGTTTCCAGGATCTCAGTTCGGTTCAAGATCAGAACTGTTTCTGCTTCGGACTGGGTTTTCCAAGCATTTTCCTTCAGTTGGTCCGGTCGAAGGTCAACCGTTCAGGTCCACATGAGCTACTCGCAGACCGCAGACCACTCGTTGTCCGGTCGGGTGACCAAGAGCAGTCAAGTCATGGTGTTCGAAGGCAGTCAAGTCTTGTCACTCCTGTATTGCCCAGGTAATGAGAGGATCCTGTCTTTGGAACTCTATCATCTGCAGACCAGTCATAAGCCAATCCTTGGCCTTCCAAGACCTTTTCTTGAAAAGTAGCTGGATGTAGCTGGTTTCGTAGTCTTAGTAAAACCATGGTTGTTCACTCTGGATTCGAACCAATCGCTTGGAAGGCGCCATTTGCTGAAAGCTTACCGTCAAGCCGCGGCCGAGCGGAGCGGCTCGCCGATCGCTCCGCCTCCCAACCCCGATTTGGCCGGAGCGGCATAGGCCGCATATTCTCGGCTCACAGCCCGCCTGTTTCACCGGCACTACAACAACGCGGCGCGAATGCGGAGGGACCTTGGTGTTTTCTGTTGGTGTTTTTTCGCCTCCCTTCGCGCGGGATGATGGCTCAAAGTTCGAAGACGTCGACTTTTTTGCATTCAGGCCTTTTAGTGTCCATTGGGTTCAGCTCTGAACAATATAGATTGGACAATAGGGATGACAAAAGTCCAGGTTCAAGCACAAGACTCAAAAGAAAAAGGAACATCTTTGGCAAAGTACAGTTGGTTGTCAAGATCCAAAGTGAAGTGGATCATGGGCAGCCCCACTCTCCAATGACCCCTTTGGAATCCCTGGTTATCCTGATGTGTCATCTGAAGACTTCTGAACCCGTCTTGGCTGCCTCATCGCAATTGGGTCTCTCCTTTTCACCCGGCATGTGTTTCGTTGCATCATGCAAGAGTTGCCACCACCCTACAGGGTTGATATTCTCTGTCTTCCCACAGCGTACACAACGATTCCATTACGGAAAGCCTGGGTGACCTTGGCCTTGATAAGAGACTATCGTGTCACGAGACTATAGGGTGTGTCCAACCCCGGACAAAGAAGCCGATTGATGGCCAACTGCATCGTTTGATTCTCCCTTTTGCACCACCCCATCATGCCATGACCTCCACGCCTT